AAACTGGATCAATTCTTGTTCTGTGAATCCAGCCAGGTTCAACACAATTTAATGCCTTTTAATTGCTGCCCTATTTGGTATTAATCTCATATTACATTTAATTTCAACAATGATTACTGGAATTTCGTAGAACAAGAGGAAAAGGTAGGCATGATTTCTGACACAATTTTAAAACCTACAACATTTTAACATTTATTGGGACATCCTACCCTATTTTAAAGTTTTATCACTGTGACAGCAGGCCTATTCCAGTAAGTTGAAGTTAGCATATAAATATTATTTGTGGGTTTTAATGGCCATATAACTTATAATACTATTTTTAAAAACCAGTTTTGTGCATTTTGTGTTATAATGGTTATGAAGATTAAAAAATAATAATAATTAGCTGGGTGCTGTGGCTCATGCCTGTAATCCCAGCACTTTGGGAGGCGAAGGTGGACAGATCACCAGAGGACAGGAGATCGAGACTAGTGGCCAATATGGTGAAATCCTGTCTCTACTAAAAAATACAAAAAATTAGCCAGGCATGGTGGTGCATACCTGTAATCCCAGCTACTTGGGAGGCTTAATCAGGAGAATCACTTGAACCTGGGAGGCAAAATTTGCAGTGAACTGAGTTCGTGCCAGTGCACTCCGGCCTGGGTGACAGAGCAAGACTCTGTCTCAAAATAAATAATTAATTAAAGATGTATTAGCTGCACATATTTATACCTAAAATTAAAATCTGAAAGAAAAAAGGCAGATATTACATTTAAAAATGCAGTATGAGTAGGTTTGTATTTCTAATTTAACTTACAAATTATGATTTCTGGTAAGATTGCTTTTTATGGTTAAGACTACTAAGTGGTTTACCTAAGATACATCTAAAGAAATTAAGCAACTAAGACAGACTGCATCCAGATATGAAAATATACACTATAATACATTCCAATGACCTCTCAAATATAAAATCCTTCAAATGAAGCATACTGGAATATGGCAGCCCAGATCCATTAGCCATCATAAACCACCCAAACAAAAAGAGTATATCAACGTGGTCTGTGGAGCAGAATGTCCCTTGGCAATAAGAGAAAAGCCTATGGCTATGAGAAAACAGGATACAAAAAAAAGATCCTATTTCCAGCAAATTACTTGAAAAGCTTTGAAAGCAAATTTCAATCCCTTCCATTTATCTGTTTCTCACAGCGTTCCACCAATCATACATCTTTGCCATTGGTTTGTTTTCGGGATATCTATATTCACTGGGATAAACATTTATAATTTTAACATACAGATATACTAAAATATTATTTATAACCTATCTACTTGCTTATACCCAATATTTATGAGATCCTATATGTATAAATATATGGTATTTATAAATATCACATATGTATAAATATATGTATAATTACACATGTATTTATATGTATATTATACATATGATACATATTTATAAATACATATAGGTATATTATATATGTACATATGTGTACATATATGTATATTGTTATAGATGTACATATCACATATTATATGTATATATTATAGTATATGTATATACATATGTATACATATTATATGTATGTATATTTATGTATATACATACAATATAATATATAAATACATGTGCATATATGTATACTATATGTAGAAATACATGGTATTTCTACATATAGGATTTCATACTGGGTAGATAAATACCATATATATATATATGGCCTAACTACTGCCAGTGTTGGGCAGATTCTAATAAGAACAATAGCATGATTTTAGCTTCACGGCATTTATAATTTTTTTGCCAAAACAAATTCTATTCACCTAGAACAAAAAATTTTAGACTGCAACAAAGTGCCAAAAGATATGGTACAAATAAGTGCATAAGAAGAGTTCAATCTTGCCTCAAACAGTCAGGAAATGGTGACTAGAAAGATAAGTTATTATGCAGACTAAAGGTAAGGGGAATGGTCTCTTTAGATATAATTTGCACCTTGAACGTTCTTTGCCCTGTAAGTTATTTTCATTATTTTAGAAAATGTTTTTCTCTTTTCAGCTTCATGGTGGATCCTGAACAACAACTAGATGTTCCTAGACATTTTCCTTATGGTTCCAAGTGCAAAACAGGTGTTCTTATCTAAAATGTCAATTAGAAAATTATCTGTGGTTGTTAATCTACTGTATATTTTTGTTTGGTATATTTACTAAGTGCACTCTTTTAAAACTTATTCTATAATTTTATGATTCATGTGAATTTTAGCTCAATTTTCAAAGTTCACTAATATTCTCAATATTTAATGCTAAATGCTTTGCTACACTGTAACTAACCTAAAACCTTTTAGTGACAAAATCCTAATATGTGGGAAAAAGCATACACATAAAGGAATAATATTGTGAAAATGAATTTGTTATGATAAAGAAAAAATAAAGTGGAAACTTTTAGAGTATTACTTCATAGGGCAGATTTTGTAAACTGTCGTATACTGTAAAGGGTTAAATCAGCGTTTTGTGATTTTTAACAGATTTTCTGTGAGTGAAGTTTATTCTTCCAACAATGTCTACTCCATACCCAACCCAACTCACAGCCCTATGACTATTATCTTTGCATTAGTTAAAAAGTTAGTATATAGGCATCAAACAACCTTGGCTGTAACTTATAGACTCTCTATCCATGTATCAGGTTATAGACTGGTTTTTCAAAAGTGAACAATTCTGTGATAAGTTAGAGTACCATTTAGTAATACAGCAACATTGTGTCATTTATTAGCATCATAATTCCTTGTTATGTAAGTTAAATATATCAAGAAAGAAGAGACTGTTGCTTTGGGAAAATGTGATTCAAGTTTTATGGCATATAGTTTTGCTATGTGACAGACAGCTAACTTTTCTTATGAAAAATACATATTTGCATGTAAACAATGATTTGAAAATACTTGAAAAATAAACTTTTAACCCAAATGAATAAATAAGAAATATAAAACAAGCACAAAACCTTACAGAAGTCATAAAATAGTAGGGAAGGTACTAGACAGAAGACATCTGTTTTCCAATTTCAACACTAGAATGACTAAAACTATCTACCTATAGAACTATCTATAGATAGTATACTATCTATACTCTGCTCAACAAGCTCAGAAATTAAATATTTTTAATAATAAAAATCTGTCCTGGTTATAAACCCTGCTGATGAAAATACAATACATATAAAAATGTATAGCCATGTTATTTTCTAGTGTAAATTCCTTTGAAACTATAAGTCTTTGGGGAAAAATATAAGGTAAAATTTTCCAGTTTTTCCCCCTTTGAAAAACTCAGGAAAAAAGGAAGATTGAATTAATAAAATTTTATTTCTTAAATATAAATTTGACCTAAAATATTTTCTCAAACTAATTCATGAAACAGCAACTTTTACCAATACCTTTGTATACTCTCAGTTCTCATCCAATATAAATACAATTTTAAAATCCTTTCATAGTTCTATTAGAAATAAGTAGTAAATTTTGATATATTACACATACACACGTGTGTGTGTGTGTGTGTGTTTGTGTGTGTTTGTGTGCCTCTGGTCAACTCTAAGGATGACAAACACTGTGTAACAACACCTGGGTCAACTCTTTTAATTTATATACAAAGCAAAGAACAACATTAATGGAGATATACAATGATTATTCAAACAAGCTATACATATGTACAAAGGCAAATAGACACATAACAAAACAGTCTCTGCAGACTGATTGTATATAGTAAGAAAAGATCAAAAGACTTTAAAACCTAAAGGACTTTTGACATACAAACTCTTCTTGAGAATGTTTGTTTTAAGTGGTTTCAAAAATACAAATTATAGCCAATCAAAACATTGCTTTGGTTGGTCCATTTAAGTATCCAATTCAAAAAGCATATCAAATCTTTTGGGTACTAGGCAGTTTCCAAAGTAGCATGGTAGTATTACTTGTTAAAAGGGTTCTGTTTTCAGTAACAGTACTGAATGGAAAGGGTCTGCAGATTCCAAATTGGAATAAGCTCTATCATATTCTGAAACAAGAATTAAAATGACTTGAGAATGGGCAAATAATAAAGCAAACCAATTAATTATATGGTCATTCTGACCCCAGCTCTTATACAAATTATACATATATTTTGTGTATGTTTGTGAGAGTTGTATGTATGTGAACTGTGTGCGTGTGTATTCACATACAAGTATATACTGAAACCTATAGTGGAAAAGGAAAGTAGGGCCAAAAAAAAAAAAAGAAAAAGAATAAAGAAAAAACTGAGACCTAAGTATAAATATCTCATTTTAAAGTAAACAATAAGTTTATAGTTAACAAAGATTTTTTTTTTCTATTTGAAAACCCATTTTCCTAAAGAACAAAGTAGTAAAAAACAAAAACAAAAACAAAAAAAAGAGGTCACCAAAAGACCAAGATAGGAAATGTAACATGGAATACAAGCTTGAATCTGGGAAACAAGCTCAAAAATCAGCGGGAAAAAAAAGTACTGGTTTTAGAAGTTCAAAATTCAGTGAAACAAACTTTTTGCCAATAGACCTAGGGATATGAGAAATAGAATTAGGGAGAGTTTACACTTACCTATATATCAGCAGATTTTTCTGGAAGAAATCCTTTTTTTTTTTTTTTTTTTAACAACAGTAACATCCAGAGTGACAAATTGCAGGAGATTTAATGTATAAAATTTCTAGGAATTAAAAGCTTAAACTCAAAAATTCTTCATCCATATATGTTATAAGAAATTATAGAATTAAAACTTAATGTACGTCAATTATTTTCAAATGTCCAAATTCTTTTGGAAAAAAAAATATCAGTTTTACTTTGAAATTGCTCAACTTCTGCTATTCATATGGTCTGATTAGTGACATAAGTAGCAGCTGTTTTTCAACTTCAGTTTCATTCACTACCATTGTTTCCAAATTATCAATCTCTGCTATTAATTATGAATTTAAGACCATATTATTATCAAAAACCTAGAGACCAATCATATATCTGAAAAGAAATACCCATTAAAAATTCTCCCTCCTGTCATTGAGAACTATGCATTGAACATTCTGAATCATTCTAAGCCTCTGAAGAGACTGTAATGATCCATTCATGAGCTGGTATGAAATCAGTGGGAAGCAGAACAACAAAAGCAACTTTAAAAGCAACAAGAAATTATGTACCATATATACACTGTAGCAAATATTTTATATTTGAGAGTCTTTACAGCTTACATTTCCATTCCATTATTACAAGTGATGAAAAACAAAAAATTGCAAGTAGTACGCAAATTATAAATATACAGTCTTCCCACTTCACTAACCAAATTCCTACTTTCCAGTGTAACTTCCCAATTTATGCAGGAAACCTCCTGCAAGGCTGAAACTGATTAGAAAATTCTTTATAGTTTAAAATAGCTCTTTCTCATTTTTAGAGAAGTCAAATAGTCAACCATCAAAATTAAGAATAAATTGAATTGTCACAGTCCATTACAGTTATTGTTGCTAGATCCACCTCATTTGCAGATGTCCAAACTATAAAATGAATAATTCTTTCTCTTCAAATTCATCTGTTCTTAAAATGCTACTTAAAACTTTGGTTGTTTTCCTGTAATATAAAAGAAAAAGTTAATTTATCAATTGATTGAATACGGTTTTTACTAATTAGTTCATCAAACCAAATACTGTGAATGTACCAGGTGTTTACAGATTTAAATGCATGTTAACATAGAAACTATTAAAGTAACTAGAACTGTCAAGTAACAAAATGGCTCATGTTTTAAAAATATATGTAATTCATTTTAAAATATATTAAATTGTATTCCAAACCTGTTGTTCTGTTTCTGTGGCACCTAGTTTTAAAAAATGTATTAATGTGTAAGTCAAAAGTAAAATGAATTCTAATGTGTAAGTTTGTTTTAAAAAGTGTATGTCAAGCTTTTATTTACACAATAAAATGTTATTAAAGGTGGAAAGTCTACAAATGAAACAGTGACTATAGTTTATATAGCACTGAAGTTTACATTTATTCTTACAGACCATGGATTACATATCCCAAAGATCTTTGAACAGGTGGAAAAGTTGAAATATCAAGTACATTTTTTCTTATTTAATATTCCTGTATGAGAAGTATTATACAAAATTTTAATTCCTGCTTTAATTAACTTTAAAAAGAATTGGCTAGAGATTTAAAGTTAGGGAGTTTAAGAAATATTAACATAAACTATGAACAACATAACATTTTTTTAAAATTATAATTTGAGGAAAAAAATACTATGAATTCCAAAGAATTAGAATACCAAAAATGGAGATAGGAGGTAGTACCATATATCTCCCATTTGAACTTTTCTCAGTATACCTATATCCTGAATCTCATATCAGAAGAGTCCTAGCTGCCTTTACCTATATAAAGGTATTTACGAAAACTCTAATAGAAAGTTAAATTCCAGTCAAATGTAAGTAGAGACCATAAAGAATGGGAATCATTTACTAAGAGCAAATGAGAGAAAAGTATCATACTCAGTAATCTCATGCATTATTTTATTAATCCTAACAGTCAGAGATTATCATCCTTATCAGCAACTGCAAAACTAAGGTTCAATGACGTTAAGTGACTTGTCCAAGTTTGAACTGCCAGTACACAGAATGGAGCTACAATTTGAAGCCATGTCTGATGACAAAATCCATGTCCTTTCCATGAATATCCTAAGAAATGCATGTATGTATTCATTATGTTATTTATTTAGATGGAATTTGATAAAGTAACAGAAATATAAAGGGCTAAGAACAGCAAAGACATGTTAAAGAAAAATACATGAGATGATTTGTTATAATGTATAAAAAGACTAATTGAACAGAATGGATAGCCCATTAACAGACCACGCATATATTGCCACAAAGATGTCAGAGAAGTACCATCTCAATAAATATTTTTTAAATGACTGGATATCCATGTAGAAAAAGGTAAAACTTGATGCCCACCTCACATCATAGAATAAAATTAATTTCAGGTGGCAAATATAATTTAATTGAAAAAATAAAACTTTTAGAGTATTGGATAATATTTTCATGACCTTCCAATTAAAAATATTTCTTAAACAAAATACAGCTATTCCATTCTAATTTTTAGACAGTTACTTTATAATAATTGGTTTATTATACCTTTAGATTTTTGTAGTTTTCTGAATTACCTGTATCTTATAATAAGGAAGGTTAAAAATCTAGAGGTAGAGTCTGATGAAAATGTTAAAGAAAAATATTTTTAATATAATATTACAATACAAACTTAGAAAACTACTTACTGGTTTTTGCAGTACAATGGGATGATCAGGCAGAAAGTCTGGTTTTTTTCTGCAGATGGAAACACTTGAGAGCTTCAACAGGAAATCTCTGCTGTATTTAATTCTCTCTGCAGATATTAAACATCAAATGTAATGTTATGAAATGTAGAGCTGTCTAGATCACTTTTTGGTTTATTTTTTTCTGGATGTCCTCTATTATTTTATAAAATGATGAGTAGTGTGTCTATGCAAAAGAGGAGGAGAAAAAAGCTTTGAAAAGCATCTACTGCCTCCAATTCTCCTTTTATATAGAAAGAAAACCAAGTAACCAAGGAAAAATGAAAGAAATATAATTAGGAAAATGGGGAATGCATGGCTTTTTTCATCTGGTTATTCAGGTCTAGTAAAATGATCTTCTATAAAGTATAACCACAGTAAAAACTATTAGGCAATTCAGATCCTGCCAAAATGTTACTTTAATGAGCCTATCAAGTCTCAATCAATACTAAAAACTTAACACAATAAAAATAAATTCAATTCGAGAAACATTTATTGTACATCTTACTATGTATCAGGAACTGTGCTAGGTAATAATGAATAGGACCCAAGATAGGGCCCTTATCTTCAAGGAGAACAATGTTTCAAATATCTGCAGATTTCAAATCAGAAATGATTACCAGAAACGATCATCAAGACAGATTATATGCTGTCCCAGAAGGCAATGGAATAATATGTTTAATGTTCTAAAAGAAAAGAACAGTAACCAAGAATTTCATGTCCAGTGGGGGGAAAAACCACTCAGAAATGCATGTGAAGGAAAGACATTTCCAGATAAAGTAAAATTGAAAGAATTCATCACCAGCAGATGTGATCTTCAAGAAATACTAAAGGAAGTTCTACAGGCTGAAGGGAATTATACTAGATGGAAACTTTACTGTTGAGAAATAAAGAGCAAAAGAGATGATAAATAGGTGGGTAAGTATAACAGATTCCTTTTTTTCTCTAAGTTTTGTTTTAAGAAATATGTATTACTGTTAAAGCAAAAGCAGCCACAGATAATATATAGGATGTGGCTATGTTTCAATACATTTTTATTTATAAAAACAGGAATTGGTCTGTAAGCCATAGTTTACTGACCCCCTAAACATTACATTAACGACTACAAATTGACAGAGTGGATTTAAAAAATAAGAAGACCCTAGTATATGTTGTCTACAAGAGACACATATGAAATATAAAGGCATATAAGTTGAAAGTAAATGGATATAAAAAATGCAAAGACTAGGAATAAGAAGGGTTGAATTACTATCCTATCTTCCTATCAACTAACAGGTAACAATTATCAATGTGTTGTTCCTAATACACAGTTCTGAAATACATCAAGGAAAATTTAACTTATCAGAAATTTTGGGTCTGGCTTCTTTCATGTAACATTTTTGAGGTTCATCCTTAATCTGGAACATTCTATGTAGCCAAACCATCAATCAAGTGTGAGAACAGAGTAAAGATATTTTCAAATACACAAACTCAAAGAATTCACCAACCCAATACCCTTTTTTCATGAAACTCCTGGAGAATGTACTTGAGCAAAATAAGGACATAAATCAATAAAGAAGAAAACATAAAACTCAAGAAATGGAGGTAAGTGATGTCAGGTAAAACAGCCAAGTAGAGAATTCTAAAAGTCTTTCCTCCACAAAAACAAGTATGCTCATAAAAACTGTCAGAATCAACTTTCTCAGAACCCCGGACTCTAACCCAAAGCCTGTAAAAACCAGGGGAATGCTTAGTGAACAAAAAAATAGCTAAATTTGGGAAAAAAATTGTGGCATTTAACTTACCTGGGACCATCCCCCAGATAGGCCATGGCCTTGAAAACAACAGCCCTCGTTACTTTTACAGGTTCCCAGAACTGGAGGGAGTAGTACAGACTTCATTTTCAAAAAATTATGATTATTTGTTTTGACCTTTCTGGTGGTTCCCTGAGGAACCATTCTGAGAAGCTTGCCTGTACTTCACACCTAACTAAGAATTCTCCTAGCATTAAAGCTGCTGCCCAAAATCCATTTGTCCAAACATTTACAGGAAAATGTATTAGTTGCTTCCACCTGAGACAAGGGATAACAATGGGAGCAAACATTAGGCATACCAAAAAGCTTGGGAGGAAAAACTGAAAAAACAAGATGCTTTGAGGAAGAAGGGCACTGAAAGAATCCCAAATATTCTTTATAGAAGCCCACATGCATGTCAAAGCTAGGCTCATGTTCACAGAAAAACTTGAGAAGATCCTAAGCACTCACTCCTGGCTGACTTTCAGATTCCTACCAAGCAGGAAATGAAGGTGAAGGCAGAATTAAGGCAATACATCAAAATACATAGAGGCCTTATGCAAAGGCTGAAAGAGGGGCTTCTTTGTTTTTCAGTTTGGTATGGTTCTAGCCATTGAAGGAAATTATGTCAAATCACTAGCTGACTACTAAGATAACATAATAGAGACTTCCATGGTCATTCATGACAAAGAATATAGATTTTACAGTATTAGTTTGGAAAAGTCACTAAGCTAACAACAACTACTACAACAAAGAGCAACAACAAACCCAAGGGAAGAAAGAAAATCTGATTTCCAGAGCAGCCACATTATAACATTCAAAATGTCCAGTTCTCAACCACCACAACAAAAATTATAAAGCACGCAATGAATGAAGAAAGTATGGGCTCATTCACTGGAAAAAAAGAAATAGAAATTTTCACCAAGGAAGCCAAGACATTGAATTTACTTGAGAAAGACTTTCAATAAACTATTTTAAATATGCTCAAAGAGCTAAAGAAAATTATGAGAGGAGTGTCTCATTAAATAGAGAATATCTATAAAGAGATGGAACTTATAAGAAGCCAGATAGAAATTATTGAGAAGTACAATAATAGAAGTGAAAAATTCACAAGAGGGTTTCAACAGCAGATTTGAGCAGGCAGAAGAAAGAATCAGCAAATTTAAAAGTAATTCAATTGACATTATTCAGTCTGAGGAGCAGAAAGAAAAAATAATAAAGAAAATGAACAGAGTCTAAGACACTTATGGGTTACCATCAAGCATACCAACAAATATATAATGGAAGTGCCAGGAGGAGAGAGAGAAAAAGGAGAAGAAATGGTATTTGAAGAAATCGTGGCATAACATTTCCAAAATTTAACAACAAAAAAAGAATCTATACATCTAAGAAGTTCAACAAACTACAAATAGAATGCAGACAACCCCCAACTTATGATGGTTTGACTTACAATTGTTTGACTTTATGATGATGTGAAAGCAATTCAAGGTTTCAGACTTTAAGCACTGGTGATTCTCTGACCAAAGACTCTCTGGGCCAAAGACTCTCATACCAACTTATTATATTTTCAATTTATGATGGGTTTATTGGGAAGTAATCCCACCATAAGTTAAGGAGCATCTCTCTGTATACTAAAAGAGATTCTTCACACATAGATACATTGTAATCAATCTGTTAAAGTCAACGAAAATCTTGACTTCAGAAAGACAGTAGCAATTCATCACTTTACAAGGGATTCTTTATCAGATAAACAGCTGATTTCTCGTCAGAAACCATGGATGTCAGAAGTCATGGGATGACATATTTAAAGTGCTGAAATCAAAAAACGTGTCAATCAAAAAATCTATACCTGACAAAAGCTCCTTCAAAAATGAAGCAGAAATGGAGACATTCACAGATAACCAAATACTGACAGAGTTTACTGCTTGTAAACCTGTCTTACAAGAAATGCTAAAGGGAATCTTTCAGACTTAAAGGATAGTACGCGACTAAAATCCACATGAGGAAATAACACCAGTAAATGTAACTACACAGGCAAATATAAAAGTATCAATAAATTTTCAGTATGAAATTCATCCTTTTCTCCTATATGATTTAAAAGACAAGTGCATAAAAATGCGTAATTATAAATCTAGGTCAATAGATGACAGAATGTGTATAAAGATGTAATTTATGACAATAACAACATAAAGGTGACTTTAGAGATCTATATAGGAGCAATGTTTCATATAACATTGGAAGTAAGTTGATATTAATTCAAACTAGTTTGTTATATATTAAATTAATACCCAACACAGCAATTAGGAACATAAAAAATATAGTAAACTAAAAGGAAATAAAAATAGTACACTAGAAAATATCTATTAAACACAAAAAACAGTAATGGAGGAATCAAGTAACAAAAAATGACATACAGAAGACAAATAGCAAAATGGGAGGATTGAGTCCTTTTTAAATCAGTTAATTACATTAAATGTAAATGCACTAACTTTTTCAATTATTATAAAAGGCAGAGATTGGTAGAATGAATTTTTTAAAATCATCTCATTATATTCTGTCCAAAAGAGACTCATTTTAGATCTAATGACAAAAATAAGTTGAAACTGAAAGACTGTAAAAGATATTCAATTCAAGCAGTAACCAAAAGACAGCTGAAGGGAGTATACTAATATTAGACAAAAATAGACATTAAGACAAAAATTGTTATAAGAGACAATGGACATTTATACAATGATAAAAGCATCAATTAATCAAGAAGATATAACAATTATAAGCACATGTATACCCAACAACAGAAAGAAAAACACAGAATTAAGCATAGAAATGGATATTTTAACATTAGTAACTGGAGACTACAATATTCCACGCTCAATATTGGATAGGAAAACTTAACAGAAGATCAATAAGGAAACAGAACGTGAACACTACAATCCAACTAACCTAATTACATATATACAACACTTTACCCAACAACAGCAGAATATACATTCTTCTGAAGCACACATGGAACCAGAGCACGCATGTTCCACACACATGGAACATTCTCCGGGATGAACTCATATGTTAGCCCACAAAACAGTCTCAATAAATTTAAAAAGATTCAAATCATACAAAGTATGCCCTATGACAACACTGAAATAAAACTAGAAATCAAAACCAGAAGTAAACTGGAAAATTCACCACTATGTGTAAATTAAAACACACTCTTATACAACCAATGCATCAAAGAATAAACAACAGGGGACTTAGAAAATATGTGACAAATGAAACAAAGTCACAACATATCAAAATTTATGAGATGAAGCAAAAACAGTGTTCAGAGCATAGTTTATAGCTATAAACGTCTTATTAAAAAAGAAGAAATAACTCAGTATCTAACATTACACACTAAGGAACTAGGAGAAAAGAGCAAACTAAATCAAATACTAGAAAAAATGAACTAAATAATAAAGATCAGAGTGAAGATAAATGAAATAGAGAATATAAAAAACAACAGAGAAAATCAGCAAAACCAAAAGTTGGTTATTTGAAAAGACAAAAACTAACAAACCTTTACCAAGACTGATTAGGAAAAAAATGACTCAAATTACTAAAATCATAAACAACAGTGGTTTTGCATCCTGCAACTTTAATTTATTTTTATTAGCTCTAATAGTTCATGTGAATTCCCTAGGATCTTCTATGTATACAGATGCTTCTCAACTTACAATGGAGTTATATCCTAATAAACCCATTTTAAGTTAAAAATAGCAAAAGATGAAAATGCATGGCTAACTAGGAGTGGCACCTTGCTGATGCTGCCCAGCATCATGAGAAAAGTACAGTTTCTACTGAACAGATATTGTTTTTGAACTATTGTAAAATCAAAAAATTATAGGTCAAACCATCCTAATTGGTGATCATCTGGGTAGGACTTTGTTCTCTGTGAATAGAGATGCTTTTACTTCATCTTTCCCAATTTAAATACCATTTACTTCTTTTTCTTGCCTAATTGCTATGGCTAGAACTTTCAACATAACATTGAATAAAAACAGTGAAAGTGGACACCCTTATCTTGTTCTTGATAGCATGTTTTGTCAAATGCTTTTTCTTCAATTGAGATGATCATGTGCTTTTCCCTGAATCTTGTTAATGTGGTGTATTATTACTGATTTTGATATGTTGACTCACCCTTGCATTATTGAGATTAATCCCACTTGGACATGGTATTACTGATTTTGATATGTTGACTCACCCTTGCATTATTGAGATTAATCCCACTTGGACATGGTATATAATCTTTTTGCTATGTTTATAGTAAAAAGTTGTTAGTATTTTATTGAGGATTTTTGTATCTATATTTGAAGGGATATTGGCTATAGTTTTCTTTTCTTCTGATGTCTTTGGCTTTGGGTATCAGAATAATACTGGCCTCACTGGAAGTGTTACCCCTCTTCATATTTTTTGGGAATAGTTTGAGGATTAGTGTTAACTGTTCTTTAAATGTTTAGTAGAATTTACTGGTGAGAAGCCATCTAGTCCCGAACTTTTCTTTGTTGCGAGGTTTTTAATTACTGATACAATCTTCTTACTTGCTACAGGTTTGCTCAGATTTTCTATTTCTTCTTGAGTTAGTTTTGGTAAATTCTGTGTTCCTAATAACTTGTATTTTATCTAGGTTATCTAGGTTTTGGCATACAACTAACTGTTCATAATAGTCTCATAATATTTTTCATTTTCATAAATTCATAGTAATGTTCCCCATGAAATAAATTTATTTTATATATGATCAATGAATAACAAAAAGATTCCATTTACAATAACATCAAAAAGAATACAGTACTTAGGAATAAATTTAACCAAGGAGGTATATGACTTGTACACCAAAAACTGTAAAATATTGCTAAAATAACTTAAAGAATACCTAAATGGGAAGATTTCTTATGTTTATGGATTGTGAGATTTAATATTGTTAAGTTGGCAATATTCCTCTCGAAGTGATCTATAGATTCAATGCTATCTCTATCAAATTTCTAATGGCCTCTTTTGCAGACATGGAAACATTGATCTTAAAATATCAAATGGAACTGCAAAGACCCCTAAATAGCCAAAACAATTTGGAAAAAGAACAAAGTTGGAAGACTTAACACTTCCCAATTTTAATAGTTACTACAAAGCTATAGTAATCAAAAAAGTGTGATACTGACGTAAGGACAGGCATATAAAACAGGAGAACAGAATTAAGAGTCCAGGAATAAACACATTAAACACATACACCTATGGTCAACTGATTTTCAACGAAGGTGCCAAGACCATTCAATGAAAAAAGAATAGCCTGTTTTACAAATTATGATGGGACAAGTGGATACACACATGACAAACAATGAAGCTGGACTTTTATTTCCCATCATATGTAAAAATTAACTCAAAATAGATCAAAGACCTAAATGCAAGAGCTAAAACTATAAAACTCTTAGAATGAAACAGGGGTAAATCTTAATGACCTTAGATTTGGCAATGACTTCTTAGATCTGACACCAAAAACATGAGCAACAAAAGGAAAAACAGTTAAAATTCATCAAAGCTAAAAAAATTTGTGCATTAAAACACACTATCAAGAGAATAACACAAGCTCCAGTAGAGAATGAAAAGACAACATATATATATATATGCACACAGTGGAAAGAGAACAGTAGCAGGAAGGAGAATAACAGATAATAGATGAGTCTAATATCCCGAAGTCTTGTAACTCAGTAACAAAACAACTCAATAACAAACAACCCAGTTAAAATATTGTTAAACAACTTGAATAAAGGATGTATCCAAAAAACAAATAGAAATAGCCAACAAGCACACGAAAAAACAGTATCATAATCATAAGAAAATGCAAATCAAAACCATAATGAGATACCACTTGTCACCCACTAGGATTGCTTATAATAAAAAGATATAATAATACCAAGAATATTGAGAGATTGGAAACCCTAGTACCTTGCAACTAAGAATGTAAAACGGTAGAACTGCTGTGAAAAACAATTTGGCAGTTCCTTAAAATGTTAAAACACAGAACTACCAATGATCCAGCAAGTCGGCTCCTAGGTATATGCCTGAGAGAAACGAACACAAGTGTTGAAACAAAAACTTGTATGCAAATGTCCACAGCAATATTATTCACAATAGCCAAAGAGTGAAAACAACTCAAATGTGTATCAGTTGAGAAATGGATAAACAAAATGTGGTATAATCCACACAATGGAATATTATTTAGTCATAAAAAATAAAGTATTAATAGTGCTAAAACATAATGAACCTTGAAAACCTTATGGAAAGTGATAGAAGCCAGACACAAAAGGTCAAATATTGTTCACAAGAGAAAGGTAAATGTGATGGATATCTCAATCACTCTTATTTAATCATTACACATTGTACATAGTAATCAAAATATCACATGTACTCTCAATTATTTTAATTGATATAAAATATGTACAGCTATTATATATCAATTTAAAAAATAAATTGAAAAAAGTGACATATTGTATGATTCCATTTATATGATATGGCCAGATAGCTAAATCCAAAGAGACAGAAATAGATTAGTGTCTACCACACGGCCTAAGTAGAGAGAAGAGAAAGTAGTAACAGCTTAATGAGTATGAGGTTTCTCTCTAGGGTGATAAAAATGTCCTGGAATTAGTAGTGTTGTACAACATTTTGAATGTACTAAAAGCCATTTAATTGTATATTTTAAAATGGTTAAAATGGTGACTGGGTGAACTCCACTTCAATTTTTTAAAAAAGAAACCAAAGGATTATAAAGGGATATCCCAAGATAATAGCAAAGGTCCACTCCAGAAAAATAGCTGTACAGCAGTACTAAAGAACAACTAGTCCATATTGGAATAGGATTATGGAGTATTCTGAAAGGAATGTCCCATCTAAGAAAAAAAAGAACTGATATACTTGAGCATAAATAGTATACACAAGTGTGGCAGAGTTGTTGGAGCATTTTAAGAAAAGAGTTAACAATAGGTAACACAGAAACATAAGGCAAACATTCACTTTAGAAAAAATGATAAATTGTATAAAAAGGGAGATATGCACCTCTTGGCTAAGCAGTTATATTTTACACAGTCACAGTAGTAAAAAGAGTGAGTAACATTTTAATTGAAACTTGTTAAATAACTATGTGGTGGGGAGATGAAAGGGTGAAGAACTGAAGGAACTGATGTGAGAGACTTAAGTTCTCATTTACCAAGATAAAACATCAATATAAAGTTTTCAAAAATTGAGAAATTTGGAAATACTTGTATTTAGAAATATGCGGATAAATATTAGAAGAAAAAATTAATCGTCTCTTCATATTTCAAACTTTTAAACTACATACATTAATTGACAAAAATTTGGAAACTAAATTAAATAATTTTATTTTATTTTTAAAATAGGTAGTGTGGGAGAGACTATTGGTTTTCCCCTAGAGCAGTTCTTTCTTTTTGTTTCAGTAATAGAATTAACTGTATTGCTAAAGACTATGTTTCCCAGTCTACCCTGCCAGTAGGCATAGTATGACCAAGTTCTGGCAATGTGATGTAAGTGGAAGTACTATGTGCAACTTCTGGGTCATAATCTTAAGGCAAACTTCCTTCCCCCTTTCCTCCTTCCTAATGGCTACACAGGAACATCATGGCAGGAACAGAGGCAGTTATCTTGGGACCATGAGATGGAAGCCATGTGTTGATGGCATAGTAATAAGATAAGAGAACAGTGGGAAAATAGAAACTTCACAGGGCAAAATCATTACAACAGTTCAGAATTTTACATGATACAGAAAATCTAGTAATAAACTCCTATCTTGTTTAAGCCATTGTATTCTGGTCTCTCCTTGAAAGCAGTCAAACTGGTAGCCTGACTCATATAGATAGAAATCAATCTAAAAATATACAATAAAATTTCATATAATATAGGTTTGCATCTAAGCGATACAGTAATATTAACTGTATATGAATGCTAAGACATTCAATGATAAAATTGGGAATTATGATAAAATTTTACCTTTTTTAACTGGAGACTGATGTTGCTGTTGTTCATTAAGACCTTGAGAAAAGGCTTGCATTCCATTCGTCTTACACTGGCAAACATGAAGAAAATAAACTTTTTAACTCATGTTTTAAAATTTTATATAATTAGTTTAACTACCCAAAAATATTTTCCTAATAATATACGCATTTAGTAGGAGCTAAGTAACAAGCAATCATTATAAGTCTGCTTATTTAAAATGAGCAACAAAAACATCTTTCAAAATATATTCACATATATCTACAGTTTTTTGGCATTATTATAATTATTATTGAAAAGGAATATAAAACTAAAGATGAATTTTATTGTCCTAAAGATAAATAATTCCATAGTCATTAAAAGTACTTTTTTCTTGACAAAAATGCCATTTAGAAAAAAAATTTAATAGATGAAAACAAAACATTTTTATTCACAAAAATTCTGCAAGAATACTATTTACTCTTTTAATCTCTGAAGTAAAGACTGATGTCGCTTTATAAGCCTATGGACTATTTCACCTAATGCCTTGGAAATAAGAGAAATAAGAAAAATTGATGTTATCCAATGAGACAAAGAAAATCAGAAACACTGGCAGAGTTCTATGTCTTGAAGAGAGACGCCTTAGTGCAGAGATTTTCCAGTCTCACTTGCAAGACTATCTTTGTTATAAGATTGGCTAAGCTAATCTGATGATATTTTAAAAATTCATTTTTACCTAAATCCTTTTCTTCTGATCCCATACTCACCAGGACATACTCAGATTCAATTTAGCTTTCCATAAATCTCCCTAGAAGTAAACAATATACCAGTTGTACCAATAAGAGGAACCCAGAACATAAGACATCAAGATTTCTCATTATAAAATAATTGGTGTTCTGATTTTATAAATCAGTTTTACAAACTTGGTTAATACTATCTACTCCTGAGAGATTATCTCCTCTTGTGCTGACAAAAATCAGTTTGCAAACCATCCCTGAATTAAGGTAAATCTCAATGAAACTAGGTTTCTTTGGAAACATCTATCCTTAAAAATAAATATCTGTGCTCCATCAATCATTGTATTGACAAGTTGTAAGCCATTCCTTAAATTTCTGTGAATGCTAACTACTCCACCTAAAGGCAGTAGGACTAATTATCTAATGCTGACACAATAAAGTCTATGGAGATAATTCCACACTATTGAAATAAGAATGGCATCAGAAAAAAAAATCAAGTTTTAGTAGAGCTTTTTAAGTAGAGATAGAAAAAATGGAAAATGCCTAAGATTTGGGTTCTCCAAAGTTCTTCTAGACTGTTGTATTTAATTAACTATAAAATGGTATTCTAAAAATTAAAAAAAAGACTATTTCTTACCTCTGGAAATTTTAGCAGATGCACATTTCACTAAGTGTGTAACATCTACTTAAATGCAAGATCTAAAATCAGACTTGAAGGTAAAATTGTACTTTGTCATGTCTGTACATATTAAAAACTTAAAATACTGATTATTTCAAATAATAGCATGTAAAAAGTACACCTACAAAAAGTTTTATACAGTGATTATCTATATGTTATCTCATTTAATTATAATCCTATAAGGAATAAGGCAAGTGTTATGATCACTACGTTATAGGTAAGGAAAATCAGACCAGAAAAGTTTGGTGACCAAGCCAAAAGTACACAGATAAGAAACAGCTGAGCTAGGTTTTGAAACTCAAGGCTACTATGTAAATTTGTGAAGGGTATGCATCTAAATGTTGTATATTTTCACCACATAAATGTTGTATATTTTCTAGCAGATAGCAGCAAAGTATCTTACCCAAAAAAACAAAAACAAACAAACAAACAAAAAACGTGTATTTTCTATAATTTTTCATTCCTCTTCTAATTCTTGCAAAGTTGCCAAATGGGTAGTAGTGGACCTGTTAAACTCATCCATTTAACAAACACAGAGTGCCTATGACATGACAAGCACTGTGCTTTGTGTCAGGAAATACAAAGATGAACATGACATTCCAGTATCTGTTCTCAGAGACTCACAAACTAAAAGGCAGAAAAATAAAAAAGCAAATCATAATAAAATCCGAGAAGCTCTGTAATAAAGATATGCAGAAAGTACAATAAAAGAACTGAGTCAGGGTATCAAACTTGGCTTAGAAATGCCAGGAAAGGCTTTACATAGGAGATGATGCTTATATTGACTCTTGAAGGATCAGTAGGAGTTAGACTGGCAAACTAATGAAAAAGTAATGTTTATGGAATAAAAGAATAGCCTTGTACTGAAGAGCACAGGAAAATATGGCTAGTTCAGGAAATGGAAAAGGTTAAACAGAGGAGTAAAGCAGGATAAGCATCAAGTTTCTTACAATTTTATTCAAATCAAGTGCTCTTTGTAATGGTACAATTCCCCAATATGCATGCTCAGAAGTTCTATTTAGACTTTTTGTATTTTTTTGAGACAGTGTCTCACTCTGTTACCCAGGCTGGAGTACAGTGCCACGATCATAGGTCACTGTAACCTTGAACTCCTGAGCTCAAGTCAGTCTCCCAATTCAGCCTCCTGAGGAGCTAGGACTACAGGCATATACCACCATATCCAGCTACTTTTCAAAAGTTTTTGTAGAGACAAGATCTTGCTACATTGCCCAGGCTGGTCTCAAACTCCTGGGCTCAAGTGATCCTTCCACCTCAGCCTTCCAAAGTGCTAGGACTACAAGTGTAAGCACCCCACCTGGCCCTTTTATATTCTATAGCAAGAAAGTTCCCAGCCTCTGTCACTCATCTTAAACAAATGTATACCACTGAGATCAGGAAAGAGAATAAGAAGAGACAAATGCATATCACTCTCTATTCCTGGAATGAAAAGTTAAAGTGCGAGATTTCTAGGCAACATCAAAAGACAAAAGGTAAACAGGAAAAAAATTACAATTCGTATCTTAAATAGTTTCACCTAAAAGAGCTCCCAGGAAACAATTTTAAAAAAATAAAAAAGCCTATAGAAGAGAATGGGCAAAGGACAAGAAACGGTAACACAGAGGAGAGGAAATCCAAATGACTCTGAAACAGATCAAAGTTAGCCACAAATTCTTGATACTCTTCTCATCAAGAGGTAAATTCTGTATCTCCTTCACTTAAATCTTGGCAAGATCTATGACTGCTCCTACCAATATACATTTCAGAAGTGACACAGTGCTAGTTTCCAATCCCAGATATTAAGAGGCTGGCAACTTCTATCTCCTGTCCCTTTGAACATTAGTCTTGGAATCCACATGTAGTGTTATAAGAAGCCCAAGCCACTTGGAAAGGCCATTTGTAGGTGCTCATTCCAGTTCATAGTACCAGCTGAGCTCCAAGCCAATGGCCAGTATTAACTGACAGCCATGTGAGTGAGTCATTGTCATCATCCAGTCCAGTCAAGCCTTTAGCTGTCTTAGATGCTATCTGACTTCAACTACATGACCATACTAAAGTGAGATATGGCCAGCTGAGTTCAGTCATCCCAGGAGACCATGAAAGAAAACAATAAGCTGTTGTTTTAATCCAAAATTTCCAAATACTTTGTTATGAAGAAATAATGAAAAACAGGTTAAAGAAAGTTGTTCATAAAGGAAGATAATACCAGATAGAGCCATGGATTTACACAAAGAAATAAAAAGTTCTGGAAAGTCAATAAATGAAAGTAAAATAAAATTATTTCAGTTTTTAAAGTTAAAAGATAACACAGAAAGAAAAAAATTAGTAATGATTATGTGTTTACAGTCCAAACAAAAGTAAAATTATCATCATAATAAGCACAAGAACGGAAGGGTGGTCTCCATAAAAAGTTACTAGATCTAATAACTGAGTTTAACAAAATCACTATACAAAATCAATTATATTTCTAAACCCTAGCAACCAACCAGTAAAATTTAAAATTTACAAAAAAATACCATTTACAATACTATCGAAATATCTGAAACACTTATAAATTGTATAAATGATGTTCAAAAGCTCTATGCTGGAAAATACAAAGAATCAAGGGATATGTCAAGTTAACAGATCATAAGATGTCAATTCTTCCCATATTAATCTATAAATTCAATCAAAATGCCAATAGACTTTTTTGTAGAAAATGACAAACTCACTTAAGATTTATATGCAAATACAAAAGACGTAGAATTGTAAAGATAAATTTTAGAAACAAAGTTAGTGACCTTTCATAACCTGGTTTTAAGACTTATCATAAAGCTACAGTAGACTATAAAGTGTAATATTGACATAAAGGTAGACATAAATCAACAGAACATAACAGAGTTTTGAAATAAATCAATGCATGTGTGATATACTGGTTTTTCAAGGAACTTTTGCAGTTCAATAATAAAAAGACAACTCAAATAACAGAAATAAGCAAAAAGACATGAATAGGCACTCTACCAAAAAATAAAAATTTAAAGAAAGAAACAGGAAAAGAAAAACACAGATGTCAGAGAAGTTCATGATAAGAATCTCAATCTCACTAAACATTAAGAAAATGTTAAATACAATGAGATACCACTACTAACACACTAAAATGGCTAAAAATAAAAAGATCGACCATACTAATGTTGGCAAGGCTGTGAAGCATCTGGAGCTCCCTCATATTACTGATGAGAAGGTAAAATGGCACAACCACTTTGGAAAACATTTTATGATATAAAGCTAAACAAACTTACTATATGATATATCAATTCCACTCCTGGATAGTATGTGTATTTCCACACAAAGATTTGTACATGATAGTCTATAGTAGCATTACTCATAATATCCAAAAACTAGATACAATCCAATGTTCATCAACTGATTAATAAACAAATTGTTGTATATTTACAGTAGGATATTATTCCACATTAAAAAAAAACTACTGATATATACAACATGAAAGGATCTCATAAACATAATGCTGAGCAAAAGAACCCCAGCACCAAGGAATACACATTATATTTTTCATTTATATGAAACTCTAGAACAGTAAAAACTAACTTATCTATCATTAAAAGAAGCAGATCAGTGGATGTATGGGGCAGGAAGGAGGGCAAGGGGTTAGTGTTAAGGGTAAGTGGTAAATTACTGCAAGGGGATATAAGGACATTTTGGAGGATGATGGAAGATTTTCATTGTGGGGTTCATTACATGGGATAAATATTTCTCAAAAGTCATTGAACAAATGAGTTCACTTTACTATATGCAAACTATACCTCAATAAAGGTGGTTTGAAAATATATCAAGTATCTCTAACATAGGTTCTACTAGCGTTTGCATTATAATTGAAGCAGCAGACACAATTGTACATTTAGAAGTAATTTAACTGCATAATTTGATTTTTCTCTATAAAACTGCAATGTTAACATATTAATTTTTTACATATAAAGTAAAAGAAGGTCAATGGTTCCAAAAAGTAATGAATATTATTGTTGTATTTAATTAGGGAAATGTTAGCTGCTAGAACAAATAAAACATTTCTATGACTTATAGAAAACTCATAATAAAGCCAGAATAATTAAGACATCATGATATTGATTATACAGTGATAAAATATGATCACTAGAACAAAGAGCCCAGAAAAGATATGTGTATATGAAAAATTATTATATAATTAAGATTCCACTGATTTATAGGATAAATTATTCAATAAATTATGCTTTACAATCAGTAGCTTATAGGAGAAAATCTAGATTTCTATCTTACACCATCCAAAAAATCACCTTTAGGTAGACTACACACCTAAATATGAAAGCAAAACTTCAAAGCTTTTGGAAGAATATATAGGAAAATATCTTTTAATTTTGGAAATGGGAAGGCTTCTTAAAAGTGAAATCCCAAAGAAAAACATTGATAATATCATTATATTAATATTTAAAACTTTTAAACAAAAAATGCCACACAAAAAATGACTCTCTAACAGACCATATTCCTGGAAAAGAAAATATTTTTATGCATATAAGAAAAATAATTAGAATCCAGAACATATTTTAAAGGTATATAAATCAAAAAGAAGAAAATCCAGGAAAAATGGGATAATAATATGAATTGGCAATTCACAAAAGAAGAAATCCAAATGGTCAAACTAAACATATGAAAAGACGCTCTACTTCACAAGTAATAGAGAATTAAAAATTAAAACCATCCAAAATATATAATTTCTCATCTACTGTCTCACCCAATGTTCAAGTCTGACAATAGTAAGGTGAGGACATAGAAAAATCAGAGCCCCTGTTCATACAAATTGCTTTGAAGAGTAATTTGGCAGCATCTAAAAGTTGAAATTAAGAATACTTAGTAATTCTACTCTAATTTTATGCCACAGAAAACTTCTCAAACAAATAAAAATGAAATATACAGATGGCAGTCACAATAGCATTTATTATAATATAGAAACAAGTGCCCATCAACAGAAAATGGAAAAAAATGTTGTATAGTCTCATATATTAAAAGATTATTCTATATCAGTTCATATTTAACTGCTTTATTCATTGTAAAGTTGCCTAGTATTCCATTTACAAATATACTTATGGTTGTGCATGCATAGTCTATTCGTGGATAAGAAATAGTATCGAGAGGCCGGGCACAGTGGCTCAAGCCTGTAATCCCAACACTTTGGGAGGCCAAGGCAGGCAGATCACCTGAGGTTGGAAGTTCAAGACCAGCCTGGCCAATATGGTGAAACTCCACCTGTACTAAAAATACAAAAAAAAAAAAAAAATTAGCTGGGCATCGTGGCGGGTGCCTATAATCCCAGCTACTCAGGAGGCTGAGGCAGGAGAATCGCTTGAACCCTGGAGGCAGAGGTTGCAGTAAGTCGAGATCGTGCCATTGCACTCCAGCCTGGGCAACAAGAGAGAAACTCTGTCTCAAAAACAAAACAAAACAAAACAAAAAAGACAGAGAGAGAAAGAATTAGTATCTAGGTAAGGAACTGGTACAATGCATCTGGATAAGAAACTGGTGCAATGCTTACTTCTGATCAGAGTAAATAAGAGACTGGGACAGAGATTGGAGGGAAACTTTTCAATAAATGTCATTTTGTATATTTTGAATTTTAAACTTTGTGACTAATTTACTTAGTCAAAAAATTAAAATTTGTAATAAAATGTTAAAGCAAAGATGACAAAATCCTATTTATGTAAAACAAATAAAACAATTCTATTTGTCATAGCAAAAGTACAAATACATTCATGGAAAAAATAAACTGAGGATAGTTATCTATGGGCAGGATGGGAAGGAAATAGGATGGTAGAAGCATATATATATAGGGTTTATAACTATATGTTAAGTTTCTTTCTTTAAACTTTTTTAAAGCAAATATAGCAAAATGTTTAGACTTAAAAATGCTGGGTGACAGATAAATGGGTGTTACATTCTTTTTAACATATGTACATAAATTTTTAAAAAGTATATAAAGCATAGTATCTGGCACACAATAACCATCTAACACACGTTACTTTCCAACCTATAATATTTCTTTTTGTTATAATTTCTAAAACTTACTCTGCTAACTCCACTTTGTATGCACTGAGTGTTGCATGGATATTCATTTTGAAAGTTGAAAGGGAACACTGCTCCTGTTAGGAGAGGAAGAAAACGATTTTATATATCTATTATTTCAATAAATAATATAATCAACTAAAAAGCTTAAGTATCCAGGATATTCTTGGCACCATTTTGAAATGTGTTCCGATAGTTCATTTATTCAACATTCATCCAATCTTATGAAGTATCTGATGCTGTGTTAAAAGGATGGGCATAGAAACATGAAAAGAGTTCAGAGATAAGAGTTTACAGTCTATTTTAAAAGACAAGCTCATATATAATGATTATAATATAATTTGATAAGCAGTAAGCTTATTGAGAGATTTAGAGAAAGTACTATGCCAAGCGGAGTGGGTTTGGGGTATCACAAAGGTTTCACAACATTAAGTAATTAAATCTGAATCTAAAAGAAAAAGTAAATGATTCCTTTAGGGATCTGAGATGGCCAGGGAGTATGTAAGTGTGTTAAGAAACACCAAAATTATTTTCTGATTTACTAGACTTTTCTGCCTAATAATCCCCTACTCTCTTGTCTGGATCTTAAGAAGGTACAACCAAATAAGATACCAGGGCTACCTGCCCACCTTGTATCCCCTTTCATTCTCATTCTTTCATGTAACAGTGTTGGAGAGAAATCAGTGAAAAATTGGATCTTCAGAGATGAAGTGGGGTGGGAGTTGCTGGAAAAAGTCTGGTCACAGAAAAGAGCTGCTGCAATGGTTTTACATTCTTTCCTTTAGGATAAAATTTGCGACTTGACCCTACACAACCACTTCCACTGCATCAGAAGTATACAGAATCAGCATTACTCAGCTATGGTACCAGAAGATTCATTAATTTCACTTATCTGACATAAGTCACAGGCATATTGAGAGCAAACATGACCAAAGTGAAGATTATCTTCCTTGAAGGATCCAATGATGGGAAAATGAACACAGGATCGACACTGGAGCCTCTTCTACCTTTTTTGCTTCATCTGTAAACTCAATAAAATATCTGTATTTTCCCATTTCTAAGTAGTAAGTTAATTCAGCTGAATACATAGACTAAGAAAAAGTTTAAAAAGTTGTATGTGTATCACCTAAAGTAGACACAGAAGCCATTCTACCAATAAGTAATGAATACAATTAAAAGACTAATATTCCAATTTAGAAGTTAAATACTAGGTATTTCAGGAGTTTGTCCAAAAGAATATCTTCATGGGCAAAAGAAAAACATTTTAGAATGTTTAAAATAGATTTTTTGAAATTAGATCTGTTCCAGTTCAAACACAGCAATAACCTCTATCAGAGTACAAGTATGACACAACTACTACAGAACCTTTAAGATTTATGCTAATTTTTTTTGGCATTTGAGTATGTCGTTATTCTTTTAAAAGGTTTAACTATCTCTCCAGCATGACTGCCCTGCAGTGATCATAATCACAGGGCACAATTTTTACTGGGTGTATCACTCTCACCAGAAGCCAGAAGCCTACAAAAATGAGACATGAAAAAAACCACACACACAAAAAGTTACTTTCAGTCAAGGGTTATTCTTCCTACCTTTGTTGGTCTGGTAGACTACAGATTGGTAGGTAATTAAGAATCTTTTTCCTTCAGTAATACTTATAAACTCTTAGTTTTCATTATTTCTTTAAATATTCACCTGAAACAATTGCTTTATATATTATTTAGCTTTTCAAATACTAATTAGTCATTAATACATTAATATTTAAAGAACTGTGTAATCTATTACTCACCTGGGGGAGAAGTCAGATGACGAATAGGTCTTGCTGGTTGAAGCGGTTTACCAATTAATTTTTTGGTTTCCATTGTCACAAAGACCTTGAGGTTCCATACTAGAAGATGAAAAAATACATTTTTATCTTTTGGACGAAACAATCAAGATGCTTTACATATATACAAATAACCACATCTTTTTTTAAGATGCCTATTTTACAAGTTAAAGTGGAAAATACAAACACAAAAAAGCATTTAATATGCAATACTCAGACTCCTTTTATAGCATTTGTCATAGTTAAACATTCTCTCTTTAAAACATTTTCTTTCCTTAACTTTACTGACTCTATATTTCTTTTTGTTTTTCTTTCCTTTGAGGCAGAATCTCACTCTGTCACCCAGGCTGGACTGCAGTGGCACAATCATAGCTCACTTCAACTTAAAGCTCCTGGGCTCAAGAGATCCTCCTGCCTTAGCCTTCCAAATAGTTGGGATTACAGGCATGAACCACCAGGCCCGGTTAATACATTTCTTTTAAAGATGGGGTCTCACTATGTTGCCCTGGCTATGTTCTTTTGGTTTGTGTCCTATTTCTTTGATTGTCTCTTCCAACTTCCTTCACTGATTCCTCTTCTCCTGTCTTTCTTCCAAATTTGGCTTTGGTCTTCTTAGCTAAAACTCATCTATGCTCATGGCTGCAACTTCTCATCTACATGATAAATATGCCCTAATTTATACTTTCAGAATCCACTTCTCTTTTAAACTCAAATTCTATTTTTCTCATTGTCTAATAATATTTCAATTTATATATTATCACAGGTACCTCAAATTCAACATATCTAAAATCTAATTAATAACTTTAACTCCTGTATTCCTTTAAAGTCATCACCAACTCCCTTGGACCACACTTGATAAAACTGCCTTCAATTTGATGGGTTAAATTAGAGCCTCTGATTTCAGTATCAGTCTTTAATTTCTGTTCATGCTACTTTCAAAATATTAACGTTATTTTCTTTCATCATATATTTGGACATTTAAGTGTTTTGTCTATAGTTTCCTCACTATCTCGGCTGTTCTTCTTCCAAATAGCTATTTATCTGTCAAAACCAAGATCAAGCTCTTGCCACTTCCTTGGAAAATATCCCCCTGGCTCAACAGGTAAGGTTAAATAAAATAGTCTACATGAAATTCTCTAATAATAAAATAATAATAGCAATAATAATAATTCTTCCTTCCTTATATTCCTCCTCCACTAGTCCCTACTGTATTTTATCAATTTTCCTAAAATATATCATAGTAAATATATTACATGTCTACTTGATTGGACTATCAGTTAGTTGAGGCCACAAAAACCAGACCTTATTTATTTTTGTATTCTAGTATCTGCAACATAGATTTATTAAATAAACTCTATAAATGTTAAGTACCTCATCACTGCAACTAAAATCTAACACCTGTATGAGAGACAAGATTTCCAAATTTTGATGCCCATCAAGACAAAGTCAAAAACAAAACTCCACTTGATTTTGCACCTGCTTATCCAGAAATAATTGTAACCATATGATATTAAGAAAATCATACGTCTAAGTGCCTGTTTCCCCAAGTATAAGATAGAGCTAGTAACCCTTTAAGTTCCCAGACATGCTTCATCCTATTTTTAAAGTATCTTTGGACATGTATAATTCAAATGTTAAAATTATAAACTTATAAACAACCTCTCAAAATTAGGAATGGTAACTAAGCACCCAAAAGTTACTATTTGGAGATAACCCAGCAAGTACTTCAAGTTAATACCAACCCAGCTTTGTAATGTGTCTGTTAACTAGTATTTCAACGTGGCAATTAACAACCTCTAAACAAAGCTAATGCTCTCTGTACTTTTTGTGCAATACAACTAGATATAACAAGATGTTTAAAAAAGTTATAAGCACAAGTAGAAAAAAATACTTCAAATAAATAGTTATTAATATTTTCTATGTGGAAGAGTATATTTAAAATAAGGACCAAAAAGCAACCTAATATACATTGCTTTATTTGATGTTTATCCTATTTATTTTAGTTAAGACCCCAATACTAGTATGTAGTAACTTTCCATCCTATTCCCAACATGAAACTAGTGAATCAGAATACAATAGAATAGAGTACTTTGGCACACACTTCGTTGTTTTTCATTGCTCAGCTGAAATTTAGTTGTAGGTTGTTAAATCTTTTCCAATTGCTGAGCAAGACAAATCCACAGTATTCAAACTAGGGATTTTCAAGAGTTGGGGATTACGAGCTCCATTATATGACGTTGCAACACAAGTAAATAAAAAATAAAGCTCTTTTGGTGCCACCTACCCTTCAATTTACAGTAGGAAAGATACAGCAATGACTCCCTGTATATAAATCCACATCAGTTAAGGAAATTAGAAAAGATGGTGTCATTCAGTACTCTGTTTAGTTTTTTTTTTTTTTTTTTAAAGTAAACTATGCCTGCATGGAAACACTGACATTATAGGGGACAAGTTTGGGATTACAATGCATACTACATTCCACTATCATGTTAATGAAAAATGTTAAGTATTTATAAAAGTAATTATTATTGTAAAACTGATTCACAGGATTATAATTAAGGCAGAACTCCATAAACTAAAACCTAATTCTCAGTTTAGTTAAAAATAATAGACTTAACTGCACTACAAAGTCATTATACTAAATAAATTCAGTCTTAAACTCTAATGCCTGCTTCATCCATGGAATGTAGAGATCAAAAAGTTTCCCTTGAAGCTACTGGTACTACCTAGAGTAGGCATGTATGATATCAACTATTCAAAGCACAGTTACAAAATAAACAGAATCCTGCCTACAACATTGAGTAGCAAGTAGTCAGCCAATCATAAGGTTGTAATATGTAAATTTTAAAATGTAAATGTATAGTTTTGTGGTATAAATGTTTTTTAAAGGATATTTTGATCCGATGTCTCCAAAAAACTTTCTATTAATACATGCTGAGAAATGGTTGCTGATAATGTTTTTCAAGTTCACATGCACTTAACAAATCATCTTTAAAGGCCAAGTTGTATGAATAGAATATTGGTAAATTAGTTATTTACAGTTGCTATTCTACATCTGGCAATACTAACTATATCTTAGGTTCCTTTTCTGTTTTAAAAAATTTACCTAAGTATGAATCTTCAGGCCTTATCAGTCCTGATATTACCAATAAACCTAGAATTGTCTAAAATACAATGGGATAATAAGCAGATATACTGACCAATTTGGCCAAAATCTTATTAATCTAATTTTTTGATTAAGAACCATTTTTAAGGTCCTACTACATACTAAATATAATTTCATTTAATTTTGAGCCATATATGAACTGTGGGAGAAAATTATTATTAGTCCCACTTTACAGATAAGAAACCTGAGGCTCAGAAAAATAAGAGACATGCCCAAGTCCACACAGCTACTAAGTGCTAGATGTTAGGATCTGACTACAAAGTTCACACCTTTATATCAAAACTTGCCTATTTGTTACATAAAAGAAAGATATCTGACTGTCCACTTATTACATGTGGACACTGCGTGTACAGATTTAAAAATTAATGTGAAAAGTAACATTTATTTATAAGGCCATGCAGAATAAATTGGTATATGCTAGAAATATCCATTTCCTCAATTTACTATTTTTCTTAGAATACTAAATAAATTAGGGAGTACTGTGCTTTCCTCACGCTACAGACGTGGTATTTGTGGTATACTGCCATACTAACCATAGGTCACAGCATATGAAACATACTATGCATTGGTTTTAGAAGCTGAGTACTATACTTAAACTCCAATATAAATTCTAGTCTTCTTTGAAAAGTACTCATGCTTCTGCCGTTGAGAAATAAGATCATATGAAGTGAAATGATGAAATGAAAAGACCATATTTGCATTTACCTTGTGTATATTTCCCATATGATAACCAGATAAAATTTCATCTCAATTTCCAACTTCAAAACATTACAAAGTTAGGATTCCTTGAAACCAAATGCTACTTGTAAGTAAGCTGCTCACACTGACAAAATGATAAAGAGAAACATACAGGAAATATCAGGGAGTAAGAAATAAACCACCTATGACTCAAGTGGTGAAAGACATTTCACGTTCCACACACCTAGTTGCACTATTAAGGAAAAATTAAAACGAAAATATCAAAAACCTAGAAGCTAGGAGAGTTTCAACATATTTTCCATTTCATGCCTTCTCTTTATAACTAATTTAATTTTTTGTTTGGTCTATTTGAGGGATTTCTCAAAACAAACACAATTTAACATTTAGATGGGCTAAAGGTGTCTGTGATTACTTTAGTATGTAACTGTCCCTTCCGTAGCTTTGACTAAAACACCAGCAATGAAAACCTTGTGCCACCGGGTGTAGGGGGGCAAATCGTCTTGAAAGCCTCCCACCGCCTGGCAGCAGGTGCTGGGGCAGAGTCAAGGGGAGCTGTGTACTTAGCTCCTTTTTTGGCGATGGCTTTGGTCTCGGCCACTTGCCCCTCTATCGGGCTCCCCTGGCCCCCTACACTTTCCTTCCCCTCATCCGACGCGCTCGCTCCCATCCCACTCCCACTTCAGGGTCCACAGGAGACTGAAGGGGCCCTCAGAGATTTCCCGACCCACCTCAGAGCTTCTCTCCCTCGGTTCAACTTTCCCGGGGGTCGGGCCTGGGAGACAGCGCCCACCCGCCTCCTCCACACCGCGGGGCCCGACTTCCGTCCCCCAGTGTCGCTCATCCTCCCCAGCCACTTACCGACTCAAGATCCACGAGGATTTCGGGGCAGCAGCGTCGCCGCGCTCAGCCCAGACGAGGAGGCCGAGCGCCCCGCTGCCCGTCGGGGAACGGCTCCTGCCGCTGGTCCGCTGGCTGACCGCGGTGGCGGCGGCGGGGGGCGGGACGGGAGGCGGCTCCGAGGGGCACGAGGCGGGCCCAGGTCGGGCGCGGGGCGTGGCCTCGGGCGCTGAGCCTCGAGAGCCGCCGCACGCCCGCGAGGGTAGAACCGTTGAAAAGGTGGCGCGCGCTTCCCCGGGCGCGCTAGGCGCGTGGGGTTGGGGCGGCGCCACCGGGAGCCGGTTGTCGAGGTCAGGAGGCCGCGACTGAGGCGCTGCTGACAGCCTAGCACTGGACAAGGCGCGCCCTCGTGAACGGCCTTCGGGACCCCAGACAGTGGCCCTGCTTGTGCGAAGACAAGGAGGCGCCAGGCGGGCCGCCTGCTGGGGGCTTGGCGGCGGGTTCCAGGCAGGGTCTGTGAGGGAGGCCGCCTCTGTGAGGGAGGCCTCCTCTGTGAGGGAGGCCTCCTCTGTGAGGGAGGCCTCCTCTGTGAGGGAGGCCCCTCTGTGAGGGAGACCGCCGTCGTGCTGACGACTGAGTACACAGGACTCCTCTCCCCCGTCAGAGCTGCTGGCAGGCCCAGCTTTCCCCTTGGTCCATTTAGTGGGTGCCGGGATTTGGGTTGGCAGGGAGGAAGATGTTTGAGACATGGTTTACCTCAGACAGGGATACAGCGTTTCACACAGACTGCCATCCTGAAAGGAACAAAATGAATTAAGGCAACTCCATCCTAATCATTTCTTTTTAATCTTCACCTTCAATCCTTTTGCTCATTTTTCATTATCTTTGAGTGTCCCCAGAGGGGGGACTGTCTGCTTGTACTGAGGGACGTGGAGGTGGCAGTGCCTCACGTCCCCAAGCACAAAAAAGACAGTTGAAAATGCACTGGGAAACACTGAACGGTTTTAAGTGGGCACTATCAGGATTTACCATTTTGTAAGGTACGAAGTTTCACAAGCATTTCCATGTATAATCATGTTATTGCTAGCTGTCTCCGTGTAGAAATGGCTTCCAGAAACACTCCTACCATCCACTGAGACAACTCGCCTGGCATGAGAGACCTAGGGTCCAGGGTCAGAGATGGTCATGCTAAAAAGGCATCCCTTGGGGTGAGGCACCAAAAGTCTGCACAGTGGAATCAATATATTCCAACCACCAGATGTAGAAAATTTTAAGTTCAGGATGTGGTTCTCATTCATATAGTCACAACAGAAATTTTCTTCTTCAGGAATATACTTAACAATGCAACATGTATAATTTTATATACATCTTACAATAAAATTATTTTGCGCATATCACTGTATGAAGTCAGTAGAAACTATTGTGACAAAAATGTAAATTGGAAGAATTCCAATTCAGATCAATATTAGTAATTTATCGACAGGAAGAGAGAAATTACAGTAGAATAGACAGACTCCTTGATTTTTTGATAATTGAAGAAAAATGAACCATATAAAAATATCGAAACATTTCACAATGTCTTATTGATGTGACATAAAATATTGGTATCTACAAGGATAATCTAGAACTCATACTTACAACAAGAACTTGACAACAAACAGGTTAATGGCTTTTAGCAACTTAAAGAGTATTTAAGGTTAAACACTGCCTGAGAAAACTTGAAGTGCCCTGAAATCACAGAGTTCACATAAGAACCTCATGAGTTTCCCCAAATTTAGCAATACTAAAAATTGACATTATTACCAATAACAAACTGTGAAACTGCAATAACTTTTCTAAGCTTTCAATAACAAAAAATACATGTTGACTAAATTTGCTTTGAAAAGAATACCACATTATTCATTATCACCAGGGAAAGTGCATTACAAAATTACTGTCAAATGATGAGGCAATAAAAAAAAATAAAAACTAAAAATATAGGAAAAACATAGCAATGGTTCAGGTAATTTAAAATATCATTTTACTGAATTTCTAAAATATTCGTGGTATTTATCATCTTTTTAAAAATCTAATTTGTTGTCATTGATTTTCTAAGTAAATACTTACTTTGGTCACCCTGCCCCACCCCTGCTTCCTGCTCTGCCCCGGCCACTCAAAGAATTGGAAAATGGATTGAGAAAAAGCAACAGTGGAAATAGATATCCCAGTTAGAAGGATAATAATTTATAATGTGTTTTACTACTTATAAGTAGAGGTTTTATGTAAACTTATATTTTCATATTTTATTTAACTCCACTTTCACAATACCTAGAACTACACACACACACACACACACACACACACACACACACACACACAAACTGGTTACTTGATCTCATGGTATGTGCTGTCTAGTGTGGGTACAGATATGCAAACAGACAATTTCAACTCAGTAAGTTAATTGTTAAATCTGGGTGGTGTCCCTGAAAGCCTGGCAACTCAGAAAGCTGAAGAAGTAGCATTACCTGATGTTTACCAAATGATCTCCTTGCCAACCTCCTGCCAATAGTTGCCTTTTATTCATTTATTCCTCAAACATTTACAAAGCATTTTATGAAGAATATGCTAACACATACACAACACAGATGCTCATAATTACTATAGGAATGTGTTAAAAGAGTGGTCCCTAACATGTTTAGCACCAGAGGCTGGTTTCATGGAAGACTGGAAGGGCGGGGTATGGTTTTGGGATGAAACTGTTTCACCTCAGATCATCAGGCATTAGATTCTCATAAGGAGCACACGACCTAGATCCCTTGCATGTGCAGTTTACAATAGGGTTCACATTCCTATGGGCCGCTGTTGATCTGACAGGTAGTAGAGCTCAGGCAGTAATGCCAGCAATGGGGAGGGGCTGTAAATGCAGATAAAGCTTCAGTCACTCACCTGCTGCTCACCTCCTGCTCTGTGGCCTGTTTCCTAACAGGCCAATGACCAGTACCAGTCTGGGGCCCCGGGGCGGGGGTGGGTGGGCAGTGGTTAGAAACCCCTGTGTTAAAAGCTATAATAATGACTTAGTTTCATTCAGCTCAGCAAAAAAGTTGTAAAGACCTATGTTTATGTGCTAGAAACTGAGGATACAAACACAAACTGAAATACGACGAGAAAAGCTGATACACACTGAGGATACAAAGAAAAACTGAAATATGACAAGAAAGGCTGATGCACAATTAGCAAGAAGAGAACGCTAGCTTAATAATAGTGCCTATATATGAAATAGAAGATAGTATATGTAGTAGAAGTACTTATGTGGAATAAAAGAAGTACTACATGAAAAGGCATAATTGTGTTGAAGGGTAGGAGGGTGGAGAAGAGACATCACGAAAAGGTTCACAGGGGAGGTAATGCCTGAACAGGATTTTTAAGGATAAAACATTTACCCACTTAGAAAAGGGTATTCCTTGCAGGTGAACGAACAAGCACAGAGATACACAGGAATAGAACAGTAGCCAATACAAGAAAACATCAGTAATTCAGTACTGCAGAAACACAAAACACAAGACTGCCTGGTAGTGGCTTGATAATTAGGATAATGAAAGATGAAGTGTCTTTTATCTCCTTTATAAGATTATAGAGAGACACTGAAGGATTTTAGTTTGGGTTTGATAGTATTCTATGACCATTTGGAAAAAAAGTACTTAAATAACAATGTGAACAATGGATTGGAAAGCAGAGTAGGCATTGGGCAAGACAAGAACAGAGGCAGAGGAATCAGTTCAGAGGCTTACAGTAATCCAGGCAATGTTTATTGAGAGTCATAAGTAAAGGTAGTGACCATAAAGAAAGTACATATAGCTGAGAGAGTAAGGAAAACTGCTGAGAGTATAGAGTTCACCTGTTTTCAGGTGCTAAACATGTTAGGGACCACTGTTTTAACACATTCCTATAATATGAGCATCTGTGTTGTGTTAAGGAGGCAGTTGAAGGTGAAGATCAGAAATTTATAAGGGCATTTACCTGCGTGGTTGTGAGATTCATTGGCTAGTAAAGGAGGGGATGATAAATTGAAAGAATAATAAATCTGAAGTCCTCACACAGTGTGACTTCTAGACAGAAGAGGTATATTTTCAAAGAGGTATATTTTCAGACAGTGGGATAACCGAGTGTGAGAGTTTAGAGATGCAGTGGTTAAGTATAACCACCCAGCATGCCGCTGTAGAGGTGAACATCAGAAGTGAAAGGAAAATAAAGGTCATTAGACTCGACAAAGAACTGAGAGTCCAGACTACAGTATTAGATAAGCCATTCACATTGACATTTAAATCAGTGGCATGTGATAAGAATGAAAACTAGGTACCAAAGTCTGCATTGGTGAGGAGGGAGTTAAAGGAGATCTGTGGAAGGCAGATGATAGGTAGAAGGGAAGTTTAAAAAGGAGTGAAGCAGGTATATAGGAAGAAACCAGAAAACAAAATATGCCCTTACATAGCTAAGGAATTCTCCACATTTCCTAAACTCTTTGAGGCTTAATAACTAATAAAAATTTAATGCATTTTGGCCAGGTGCGGTGCCTTGCTGATATTTTAATCAGTAAAATTATCAGTAAAATGATATTTCAATCCCAGCACTTTGGGAGGCTGAGACGGGCGGATCACGAGGTCAGGAGATCGAGACCATCCTGGCTAACAGTAAAACCCCGGCTCTAGTAAAAATACAAAAAAATTAGCTGAGCATGGTGGCGGGCGCCTGTAGTCCCAGCTACTAGGGAGGCTGAGGCAGGAGAATGGCGTGAAGCTGGGAGGCAGAGCTTGTAGTGAGCCGAGATCGCACCATTGCATTCCAGCCTGGGTGACAGAGTGAGACTCCATCTCAAAAACAAAAAATTAAAATTAAAATAAAAAATTTTTTTAAATACAATTTAATGCATTTTCAAGATTATTTAAATGTCCAATATCTTAAGCCAAAGGTATTATCTCATGTGGAAATATGACATACTGAGGCAAGGTTTTTCAGAAAAATTTATTGGAACACTGGGAACTTTTCCGTAACTCTGTATATCCTACCATTATTACTTACACATATGACGGGCCACTCAGGGCATTCAAAAAATTCATCAGAGCAATGGGTGCGATCACTTCCTATTTAATAAGTTACCTTAAATAACTCTTAGTTACGAAATTGAAA